CACACACACACACACACACCACACACACACACACCACACACCACACACCACACACACACACACCACACACCACACACCACACACCACGCACCACACACCACACACCACACACCACACACCACACACACACCACACAACACACAACACACAACACACAACACACACCACACACCACACACCACACAACACACACACACACACAACACACAACACACACACACACACACACACAACACACAACACACACACACACACACACACACACACACCCACACACACACACAACAACCCACAACCCACAACCCACAACCCACAACCCACAACCCACAACCCACAACCCACAACCCACAACCCACAACCCACAACCCACAACCCACAACCCACAACCCACAACCCACAACCCACAACCCACAACCCACAACCCACAACCCACAACCCACAACCCACAACCCACAACCCACAACCCACAACCCAACACCCACAACCCAACACCCACAACCCACAACCCACAACCCACAACCCACAACCCACAACAACACACAACCCACAACCCACAACCCACAACACACAACACACAACACACAGCACATAACCCACAACACACAACACACAACACACAACCCACAACACACAACACATAACCCACAACACACAACACACGGCACACGGCACACGGCACACGGCACACGGCACACGGCCACGGCCACGGCCACGCACACGCACACGCACACGCACACGCACACGCACAAGCACAAGCACACGCCCACGCCCACGCCCACGCCCGCGCCCGCGCCCGCGCCCGCGCCCGCGCCCGTGCCCGCGCGCGCGCACGCGCACGCGCACGCACACGCACACGCACACACACAAAACACAACCCAACCCAACCCAAGCCAACTCAACCCACGCACATACACACACCACACACACACACCCATACCCATGGGGGGGTCAGAAGGAGGAGGATTAGCTATGGGTGGTTGGTTGGAGAAGCGGACGGCGGGGAAGAAACACATAAAAGATGAAGCGGCGAAACCGGAGAGTGATAATAGGGAAGAAATGCGGCACGCCTTCATAACAAACTGATCTATGGCGCTGGAAGAAAGATACGCGTCTGTCTTTTTTACAAAGGGACGGAGAGGGAGCGAGAGAGAGAGAGAGAGAGAGAAAGAGATAACTACAACAAGAACAAGAAAGATGGACACATAGTCAGAGAAAAGCACGACGGATGAGGATCAAGACGGACACCTGAAGACGACGGAATTAATCCGGCGACTGGGTGATGGTCTTCATCTGGCTAGTGCTGCACCGCCCCATCCATCTTTATTGATACACCTGTTGCTGCAGACCTCGAGAGGGCCTGTACTTCAGCATTGTGTTGCGATTGCGACTGTCCTTGAATCTTTGACTGGCGAGGCATACTGAAATGTCATCGGAAGTACTCTCGGTCGCCGCTACCTGTATGTGTCTTGCACATAGTGCTGCGTTTGAGGAGAGGGGGATGGCGCGACCACAGAACTCGACGCGATGCGCACACGTTTCATATCGATGCGGATGCCTTCTCTTGTCTATATTGTCAGTTCTACCCTGAATACGGACCTACATGCACCATGCATGCGCACGCGTTAACGCGCTCCCGTGTTGCATGAACACCTACAGCTACAACTGTTTCCATGGCTACGACAAACACCATCAATATAACTTTGTGGGTGGATCGCGGGGGGAGGGAGATGTCTGGCCGTGTGAATACAGGCGCACGTCAATCAAGTGTTGCCAAAATTGAGTCGACCATGTTCTTTTGGGGCGGCCTCCTGGCTGCTGGCGTCTCTCCGCTGCAGAGGCGCTCAGAATCAACACCAAATCCTTGGCAAAAGCTGTCCGCTTGAAAAGCAAACCGCTTGCTGACTAATGAGCGGCCTGCATATCCCTTTGGCCATAAACAAATTACGACAAGCAGCAGGGTGAAACAACACACAACGTTCTGATACGCATTCGAATTTGCTGATAACGAAGCCATAGGTGCTTCACAATGTCAAGTTTCCGCGCGGCTGGTGCACCTACGGCAACCGAGCGAACTTGATCCAGGCCTTCAGCTCATACCACTTACCCACGCTGGAGCTTATTACTCCAAGGATGCATGCATGCAGAAATTTCAGGCTTGCACAGCCAGAGCTTCGAAACCTACGAACAATGCAGACAGGCTAAGGCTGCTCCATTGTGGTGGCCAGAAAGAGAGGCACAGAATACACTAGAAACGCTGAGGGAGACACGGCCGTAGGACGCGTGTCTTGATGCACCATCTCCCCAGAGCTCATACAACCGTGTCTTATAATCGAGCGTCGAACTAAGGTCGTCGGCCTTGACGGAGCACAAGCGTGCCAATGAACTCCATCACCACATGTGGGCGGCGACGATGGATGTTCCACGACCATCATTCTACGTTCTGTGACCCTCCGCGCTTCTGACAACTAGAAAGCGCTCTCAACGGCTGCCATGTGCCTAACTAACAGGGCGACGTTCGTGGCTCCGCCGGGCACTCGCGGGGCGTTGCGCACTCCCGCGGCGCTCCTGCGATGCACCCACGGGGCGTCGGGCACTCCCGCGGCGTTCGGGTCTCCCGTGGCGTGCGGGGTACGGTCGCGTTGCGCGACATCGTGAAGACCTGTGCGGGCAGCGAAAACCTGATCGCCCTGTGGAGTCGCATGCCCTTTAGGAGATCCCTGGAACTCCTGAAGAACTTCTTCGCATGCCTTGGGGAATCCGAAATGAAGGAACAGAGAGAAGCATGCACATAAACTGTTGGCGGTCCGCGCGGATTTCTTGGATCTGTGCCAGGCCCCCCTCCCTGACGCACGGAGCGCGCCAGGGGCAGCGCCAGAGACGCCGCCAGGGGGAGCGCAGACCGCTTATGTATATGATGCCTTTTCCCCTTCGCGGAAAAAATCTTGGCATGCCCTGGGGAACCCGAAAGGTTCTCCCGGAATAAAAAAGCCCAGAGGCACACACAAAAAGAAATGCACGCAAATCCCAGGATTCCCCGCATTTCCCAATAGTTTCTGGGTTTTCGCGTTTCCCCCCCCCCCCCCGCCACTTCCCATCTTTCCCCGTCTTTCCTTGGGAATCGACAGTTGATTGTGTCTGTGTGCTTCTTCCACTCCCGAAGGAAATGCTCAAACTACCCTCCGTGCAGCCCCGCACCCCCCCGCAACTCAACCCGGGGTCTCTCGGCAGGATGGCCTGGGGCACACCCTCGGGCCAGCATGGCTGCCTCGGGGGTGCTCCCCAGACCCGTGTAGGCTTCGAGGAAGCTTCAGGGGGCGCGCGCAAGCTCCCCTCGACGGTGGTCGGCTTTACACAGCGTCTCCTCCTCCTCCTCCTCCTCCTCGTCCGTAGCCATTTTGGCTCAAGCCATTTTGGCTCAAGTTGCCATCTCTCGAGGTGGCGCAGGGCCAACCGCTCGCTCCAGGACGAGCCCAGCCCGCGTCTCTGGGGTCAGCCTGCGAGCATCTCGTTTGCTGTGAGCACCAGGCGGTGCCACACTCTGTACGCAACATTCTCGCTCAGAAGCAGTTTGCCAGCACGGCCCGTCCTCCGCAATGGCGAAGGCCACTGGGCCAGCGGCGTGGGTTCAGTGTGAGAAGTGTGGCCCACGCTCTTGGACACCTTTGGCTAGCAGCAAGCTGTGGTGTCATATTTGCGGGCTCTACTACAACAAGGGTGACCAGCCACAGCGTGGAGCCCGTCGCCGCAAGGGCGGTGGCAAGAACGCAAGCGGCGGCATGGGCGCGGGCGGCGCAGGCGGCGCCGCAGGGCTTTCCAAGCAGCAGCTGGACGCCATCGCCAAGCAGGTCACCGCCATCGCAGCGGCCGCCAACTCAGCCCAGCCGCCTGCTGCAGGCAGCCCAGCCGCAGGCGCAGCGCCTGGCCACGGGAAAGGCTCGCGTGGCACGGGCAAGGGCAAGGACACGGCAGCGCCCACGTCAGAGGCGCCCGCCGCCAACGACAAGGACAAGAAGATCGAGCAGCTCGAACTTCTCGTCAACACCTACCAGCAGATGGACGCCAACGTCGTGCCTGATGTGGCTGCCAAGCTGCAGCAGGCCAGAGCTGACCTGGTGGACGCGCGCGCGGCGCAGGCAGCCAGCCTGCCGCCTGCGCAGCGCATGGCGCGCTGCCACACCCGTGTGCAGCGAGCGGCCGAGAAGGTCGAGAAGATCAAGCACCAGATATCAGAGCTGGAGAAGACCAAGCAGGAGCTGCAGCTGCAGCTCGACGCCACCATCCAGTCCATGGACGAGCAGAAGAAACGTCTCGAGCAGGCCCAGGACGACCAGCAGCGCGAGGAGCAGGACGCCAAGTCAGTCTGGGCAGACACTGCCCCAGATGGAGGTCCTGGATCGCTCGCGGAGTTCACCAAGACGTCCAAGGCCAAGATCGCGGAGGCCAAGACCAAGTTTGCAGGCAATGCAGACATCCTCAAATTCATCAATGACATGGCCAGCATGGTGGGGGCCCTGCCTGAGAAGGCAGCACCGCCACCGCCCCAGCCATCAGCATCGATTACGGACACGCCGATTTTTGATTCTGAATTCTTCAAAGCCGAGATGGAATCCCTTGCTAAGCACCTGCCGAAGAAGGAGCTCGAAGCCCTGCAGAAGGCCCGAGCGACGTACCAGGACCAGCAGGCCGCAGCCGCGCGCCAGCTGGGCGGACCATCGAGCAAGGGAACTGGCAGCGGTCGCGGCCACCGCCCGTATGGGTAACGGCCCCACACCGACTCCAACGACAGCATCGACAGAGCGCCGTGCTACAGTGACGTGCGGTGCCTCTTGGACTGAAGCTGACTGCCAGCCAGTTTCGCCAGCGGCCTCACCAGCATATGCCAGTGCTGGGAAGGCCTTTCCTACTTCTCCTCACTCCTCCTCTCCTCATTGCACCCGTTTTGAGTCTTTCAATGGGTCCTCTTGGGGCTCCCTCAAGAAGCGCCTCCTTGAGCTTGCGTGGGGACCCACCAAAGTTTTGTTTGCTCAGGAGGTGCACCTTGTGTCAGATTTAAGCATTGCCGAGGCCTCAGACTGGGCCACTAGGCACGGCTGGAAGAGTTTTTGGGCCCCGTCGGTTGCCACTGCCTCTTTTGCCCCCTCAACGAACGGTTTAGGGGATGTAGGTTCGTCGGCTGGGGTCGCCATCTTCGTTGCCGACGATCTTGGGTGCTACACTCTGGAGGAACCCGTGGGGCCCCCTGGAGGTATTTTGGTGCCACACCGAGTCATTGGAGTCGTTGTGGAGTTCCCCCAGACCTCGGGCATCCTCTGTCTTTCTTTGCATGGGCACGTGAGTCAGGGACTCTCGCCAGACAATGTCGCCATCCTCGAGGCTATAGCCGATCTGGTCAAGGTTTCGGGGCTGCAGTACATCATAGCAGGAGACTTCAATATTACTCAGGACCAGCTTGAGCATTCGGAGTTCTGCAATTATATAAAGGGTCAGCTCTTCGCGCCGGCCTGCTCGATGGGCACCTGCACAGCCAGCGGTTCAGTCATAGACATGTTCATTGTCGAGCAGCAGCTTGCCAACGCTGTGCGAGACATTGACGTCGATTTCGACTGGGATGCTAGGCCGCATTTCCCTGTTGTGCTGGATCTGCCACCAGATTTTGGAGAGGTCAAGGTCCTTCAATTCCCCGCCATGCCCGCCCTCCCCTCCTCATTCGACAAGGATGAGGAGGATGAGGATATCGTGCATCCTAGCACCGTTTCTTGGGATAAAGTTTTAGATCACATAAGTAGGCTTATCTCTGCTTTAGGTTACCGTCACAAGGCAGTGTTGCGAGAAGGCTTCGCCTCGGCCTACGCGCACTGGGCCAACGCCGCCGAGCTCGAGCTAGCGCAGCGGACGGCCACCAAGATTCGCGAGCGCAAGTCGTCAGGCTTGAGAGCGAGAGCCCCCCAGCCAGTACTCAGAGCAGTCACCAAGAACGAGAGAGCTCACAAGCAGTACGGTCTCCTCCCCACAGCGCCGAGCTGGATTGCCACACGCATGCACCGCCTCGCTTGCTTCTTGGATGAGGAGGAGGAAAGGAATGTGGGGAAGGTGATTGGCAGAGAATCTAGGCCGGCAGTATTCGATCTTATCTCCCGTGTGGTGCGTGCCAAGCCGCAGCATGTGATGCAGAGCGAGTGCACGCGCATGCTCATCAAAGATATACAGCATTATATCATGCCCTTGCACGCTGATTTCGAGGCCGAAGCTTTTTGTTGCAGCAAGATAGCTGCCACAGTCGCGCAGCTGCTCTCTTTCAAGGCCAGGGCTGACGCATGCGCTAAGAAGGTCATTTCAGATGCGCGGTCAGCCAACGCCAGCTCTTGGAAGGAGTGGGTAGACAAGGCCCTCGACAAGGGGGCCAAGGCCGCACACAAGCTCATTAAGGAGCGTACCAAATGGGAGCCTGACACGGTGCTCATCGAGGGTAAGCTCACAGCCTCCATACAGAGCACCCTGGACACCTACAAGGCCAAGTTCGGGAACTTTTGGGAGCCCGCGGTAGAGCCCCTCCACAGGGACAACGACCTCCACGAGCCCATCGGGATCCCCTCAGTAGAAGCTCTCAGGGACCTCTCCAAGAGTTACTCCAAGGCATCTGCCGTCTCCCTCGACGGGTTCCACATGAGGCACCTTAGTATGTTATATGATGAGGCCCTCGAGGCCTTTGCCAGACTCATCTACATCTCCGAGGTTCTTGGGGAGCTTCCAGGGCAGCTCCAGTGGGTCCTTGTGGCGCTTCTCCGCAAAGTCACTGGCGGCTACAGGCCCATCGGCATCTTTCCCATGATGCACAGAATCACAGGCAAGCTGCGCTTGCACTTCGCCCAGGACTGGATAGCTAAGCACGACTACTCTTGGTTTGCCTGCGGCGCAGGCAGATCACCAGTCGACGTGGTATGGCGGCAGAGTCTCAGAGCTGAAGGGGCCGTCTCGGGCGGAGGGGCCTCTGCTGGTGTTCTCTGGGATATGGAGGCTTTCTTCGAGCGCTTCAAGCGCAACAAATTGCGGGCTCGAGCGCTCGCATTAGGTTTTCCTGAGACTCTGCTCGCATATCACCTTGCAGGTTATGGCTCGTGGAGGCACATAGCGTGGAAGCGCTGTGTGGCTCAGCCTATAGCGGCCGCCAACGGCATAGTGGCGGGCTGTTCTTTCTGCATCCTTTATGTCAGGATCTATTGTTTTGACGCTTTCCTGCAAATTACTTCGCTGCACTCGGCTGTCTATTTCGATTTCTATTTGGATGACCTGTCCATCACCTGTCACGGCACCACGGTCAGGGTGCTCAAGCGTGTTGTCAGTGCCGCCAAGGAGCTTGCCCGTCTCATCGAGATAGACCTAGAAGCCAGGATAGCGGTTCACAAAGGAGCGGTCGTTGCGTCGTCGGTGTCGTTAGCCAGGCTCCTCACGTCGGCCCTTGGGGCCACTGGGGGCAAGCTCCAAGCGGTCGCCACTAACTTAGGTTGCGATTTTACGGCTGGTAAGTCCTTCGGTTGCAACGGCGCTGCCGCCAAGCGCAAGGTCAGGCTCAGGACCGCGACGGTCAGAGGGCAACGCATGCGTAAGCTAACTGCTACCGCTGGTCAAAGATGTCGCAAGATTGTCACCACTGGGCTCCTC